CATGCTGCCCTGCTCCCCGTCTCCGCCCCCAAGGCCGCAAACACTTTCCAGGAGAACCGGACAATCCTGGCCCGAGGATAAAGGGCCACACAGACAACGGGGCCTCACTCTCCAGTTATCGATGCCCAGATATTTCCCCGAAACACCGTCTTCCACTCCATCGCCTGCACCTTCTGAGAGTCTTCGGGACAGCAGAGGCCGGGCTGGCTACACAGACCCCTAGATACCAAGATTTCCCCTTCTTCCCTCAATAGTTTCTCTCTGTAACGCACAAAGTCATGGGTATCGCCCTCACTGCCGACAAAGGTAACGTGCACCCCGGAGCCCACAGCCGGGAGGCCCCCCAGCGGCCTGGCACGGGTCAAGACTCAGACTTCGGGAGGCGCCTGTCTGGGAAAGCTGACTCCCCCAGGCACAGCCCTCCCGCTGGGCCCACGGCTGGTCTGGCCCTGGAGAAGGGGACCCGTTGCCTTAGCGAGAAATCCCCGCCCCCCAGGCAAACGGGCCGTTTCCACATCACCCCGAAGCTCCCCAAACCCACTCTTCCCCAAATCCATCAGCGGGAGTGCCCCTCTGCTGGGGAGGCGCTGCGCCCCTCAGTCCATGCATCGTCCTCCCGTGAGGAAAGGACATCAGACGCCTCGCTGACCTGCGTTCCCTCCGGAGCCCGGCACCGTCCACATTCAGTCACTGAGCCTGTCAATCCCACTCGCCCTGTGGCGCCCAGAGGCCTGCGTCCTCGGCCTGCGTCCTCTGCCTCTGTCCCGAACCAGCCTCCACGCCGCGGCCAGAATGGCCTTTGACTACAGAAGTCGGGTGGCGTTTCACGGTTTAATTCTGTTCCCGATGCAAATGGAAAGTCCTGGGCGACGTGGGTCCTGCCTGCCTCGCCCGCCATGGGGCCGACTTCCCCGTGACCCGGTCCATTGCCGGGCGCTGCTGGCGTTGGAGCTGGGTCAGTCCTCGTCGCGCGGGCGTCCCAAGCCCTGGAGGGCGTTCAGCAGCACCCCTGGCCTCTACCCTCTGGATGCCATTCCCAGTGTGACAACCAAAAATGTCTCCGGACATTGGCCTATGTCCCCTGTGGGGCAAGCTCGCTCCTTCCTCCTCTGGGCAGCCTCTCGGGCTCTGCTGCCAGGGAGAATCACTGACCTCGAGAATGCCGCACGGCCACGGCCACACGAAGCAGCTCCAGAAGGCACACCCTCCGCCCGCCACCCCGTCATCTGCCGCCTGTGCCTGAGAAGCCCCCCACCCCCCACGCTGAGCCCTCCCTGCCTCGCCAGCGAAGGTCCACAGCGCTAAGAACAGCTCGGGCTTCGCGACGGGCATGCCACGCACCAGGCCGTCTTAAACACCGAAACGTACTAACTCACATCTGAGCCGTGTCGCAAGCCTACGAGGCAGGTACAGTCAGCCCTGCAAAGTCACTGTGTAACCTGGTCTCGACCTTAGGATTCCCGAGCAGGGGCGGGGAGGAAGCTCTGCT